TTACTCAGTTATAATTTTTATTTTAATTTTACTTTAATTGTATTTGAACATTAATAAATTATACAACCAATTATATGCATAAATCTTAATCCCATGGCGGCGACAAAGTCGCCATATCCAAAAATTTCTAGTTGTAAATTAATAATAAATCGTCGTTCATTTCTGCGGAAGTTCCCAAATAATTTTTCCGAAATAGTGATTTAAGTGGTTCAATTTATTATAGTATTTGTTGTGTCATGAGTTCTATCATTAGTAGTTACACGGTGAATCATATAATGTGACATGATTCGATTATTTTTTATTTTTTTTCAAATTTAAATTAGAAAAAAAAAATGGCAACTAAAATTCCCACAGAAATATTAATTAAAATTTTAAATAATGTTCAATCAACTCAAGATTTATATTCATCGTTATTAGTTAATCGAATCTGGTGTAAAGTTACTGTACCTATACTTTGGGAATTACCTTTGGGTCAAAAATGCTGTACAGATAATAAGAAGTTGAAAAAGAAAGCATTATGTATTCGAACTTATATATCATGTATGAATATTCAAGCTAGAACTTTACTCATTCAAAATGGATTTGATTTATCATCATCAACACCTCGAGCCACCTTTGATTATCCATCATTCACTCATAAATTCATAATTGATAATTTAGTTGAATTTATTCCTATATATTCATCACGAATTAGTCAACAACAAATCATTGGTCCAGATCAAGATAATAACAACAATAATAATAAGAACGAAGTCACCATCACCAAATCGAGAATATTATTTCGTGAGATCTGTAAATTAATAATAAATTGTTGTACATTTTTGGATTGTTTTAAAATAATGGGACTTCCCAAAAATTATTCTAAAAATTTTTATAATTATAATGATTTAATTTGTTCAATTCTCGAGTTACCTGGTGCCCCGAAAGTATTTAAGAAATTAGAAAGTTTTACTTCGATAACAAAAAATTATGGAAGGATTTTTCCATTATATGAATCATTAACATTAATTTGCGATAATATTTTAAATATGGATTTGTCTTTGAATACAAATTCTCAAGTGCAGCTATTAACAAAACTTATCAGTGCCCAAAAACGGTTAGAAAATCTCTCAATTGTTTCTACTCAGTATCAAGATTATAATTTATTATTTCAGGCTATCTTTAGTCAAAAAGAAACATTAAAGCGTCTTAGTTTGAGATACGTAGATTTTAATTATTTCGAAGGGAAATTACCACAAATTGGACAATTTATTTCACTTCAAGAACTTTATATTGAAAATTGTTCTGGA